ACTATGATTCCGTCGAAGCGTCTGAGAATATACAAAGTCCACGGTTCAGGGCATAGGAGGTCATATATGTGGCACTATAGATAGAAGCACGATAGACAGTAGACGTGTTTGCTCATAGACGTGGTCCATGAAGCAAAAGCTTGCTCACGAGAATTACTCGGTGTCTTTAGCCTCAAGTTGTCTCCAAGAGGCAGTGTGGGAAATAATGCCCTGAATAGCACAGATAGGGTGGCAGGGATCGAGTGAAATACTTGAAACAGAGAGATAGCAGACGGATCCTACGGGGCAAGAGGAAGACTCTGATAATACTTATGGAAGGACTGCGAAACAATATGGAGGGATTGAGAAAGCCAGCGTGTGTTGTGGAGAGTTCTCATGAAACTCGCCAAAAAAACACACCATACCAGATTTAAATAGGCAAGTAAAAAGTGGTAGTGAAGAGGTGATACGAGGATATAGGATTTGTGATTAGCCCAGGGCGGGAGGAGAAATACCACGCATGCTTGGCAGACAATTGGTCGAAGGATCGGCTTTAATTGTCTTTTGACGAGTTCTAGTGTGGTGCTAAGACTGACAATGCTCACTGACGATGCCGGCGAAACGTCTGGGAATTTACCACGTCCACCTTCCGCTTCTGGAAATTATCATGCATTCTAGAAACTCCGGACTAGATGCGTTTCTCTAAGCCTCACTACCAATATGACCAAGTTGCGAAAACAAGATCAAAACAACTTCTATAAAATGAAAGTAGACTGCGACCATACAAAAGGTCACACCATTTTATTTTATTTTATGTCTACATTAGACAAAAATGGTAAAGTAATAGTTGTTCAGTACGTTGATACCTTAATTAAACTTTTTTGAGTGACCATATATTCTCGAAAGGTCATTTTGCATGATTTTTGGTGTTATTAATCAAAATAAATTCAAGAATGGTACGAATTAAGAGCAGGAAACTCCCTTGTCATTAGGAAACAATACAGAATAAAAGATATTAACAGGAGTGCATTTGCCGAATGAACGAAATTGCTTCAAGAGGAGAGCAATTATAGGTATTGTACCATCTCAAAAGAAACACTTCATAAGATAGCCCACATTTATCGTTTTCTTTTTTTATTCTAGGCAAAATTAGTCTTTTAACAGATATATTCAGAATTATCTGTTCCCTATTTCGTCGAACAGAAATAATTGAAAGTTTGCGATTCCTAAGGGACTAAATTTTGTCCATATTTGAGCTTCCATGAGAGAAACATTGAAAAAAGTAAAACATTTCAATAGTGCCTTCTTATGATCTCTAGTAAATTGATGAAAAAAAAAAAAACTAGTCCTAAACATATCGATTGGTCTTGACCTCATATTCGAGTTACCTTGTAAATTAGAAGTTTAAAAAATATTTTATATGGTGAAGAGACCCATTTTTCAAAGCCTCGCAAGGCTGTAACAGAGGGTTAGTGTAAAATTGTATACTCGCAAGAATCCAAATAGGCAATTTTACCGTTTAAGTTTCCCACACAAAATAAAGTTTAAAATAAACTTTTTTACCACTCTAAAAGCAATGGAGATCTTATTACCATAGAGTGCAGAAGCTCTCGCAACATACCTTGGAATCCATCTGGATATGTTTCAGGCAGGAAGTTGGTTGTGATGTCACCACTGACAAATTTATCATTGGTGATGATGTCGCGCAAAAGGGGGATATTGTGTGTCACGCCACGGATCACATATGCGTCGAGTGCACGGGCCATGATGCCAAGGGCTAGGTCCCGTGTTGGTGCATACGTGATCAGCTTGCAAATCATTGGATCATAGTAGATGGAGATTTCAGAGCCTTCTTGTATACCGCTATCACAGCGGACTCCAGGTATGTGTGTTGGCTCCACGTAGCTAGAGAGACGACCGATTGAGGGTAGGCCAAAAGCCCTATAGGGGTCTTCTGCATAGACTCGGCATTCAATGGCCCAACCATGCACAGGAATGTCCTCCTGTGGATCGATTAATTAAGTATGAATAATAAAGCATATGCAAATAAATAAGATTACTAGGAGAAATAAAACTTGCACAAATATTGGGAGTCGCACCTATTAATTAGCTATATGTGCAGAGAATATAGAACAATAACTTTACAATGCTATAGCTACTCTTACCATGAAGGATTAACTTAATGAAAAGGCTCTTCTCTCGGCAAATTGAAAGAAAAGGGGGAGGTCCTCTTTGGATAAGAAACGGATATTACAATGTATAATTATAATTTTGTGTATATGATTCTTTTAGTGTCGACAAATATATACAGCTTATTAGCTGTTATCGGTATACGGTTCAAGAAGCATAAAACAGACTCAGAATCCTACTCGCAGATAAAAATTTGAGCAGAAAATAGAGCAACCCGAGTTCTCACTAACCAATTTAGATTTATTGACGCGAATTGATGATTAAGCCACATAATATTCATCGAACAATATGGATTAACCTTATTTGAAGATGGGCTAAGCCATCTTATTTGCCGAATGGATATGTTACAGAAACAAGCATGCAACTATCAGTTTAATAAAGGAAGCTATACGTCGTTGAAATCAATATCCTAGGCTGTGCAGCACATTTAAGTAAACCTATTGTTAATAACAATCGGAATTATAAGCCATTATGGAGGCGCGAGGTCGGTTCATCTGATCGACACAGATATGCAGTCAGGCAAGAGGTCAAAATGTATTGTCATGTTATCATAGTTTAAGTTAGTATTGATAAACAAGAAATACAAGCTAGCGCAAACAAAGCCAACAGACAATTGCAAATATCAACAAGTATGGACTAAGCATTATGGCAAGTTCAAAATAGATGAGATAAAAAGTTAATTCATTAGACGGTTAGGGACAGGAGTTTATAAAAGGGTCATAGGCACAGTAACAAGAGAGAATGATTGATCGTTTATCAAAAACGATTTGGATAATTCAAAGGTATAAGAAAGGAAACCAATGAATTGGTACACAAATTTGTCATGATAAGACACGAACCAATGCTTGTCTCTCCATCAGTGCTATAAATAAATTTCTGAGTAAAAAGCAAATAATTGTTGTCATGAGCGCAAATTTTAGTAGGCTGATTCAAAAAATCATAGCTAAAGATGTATCCTGGTGGGCCTTGGAAAAATGCTTACCTCTTAGAAACAAAAGCAGATCGTTTAAGAACAATCTGCGATGACATATTCGAATACAAATAAATATAAACCCGAAAAAAAACAAATTAGAGACATCAAATTAGCATATATGAGGAAATTTATGAATAGGTGGATAAAACATTACAAATTTTAAAACAAGTGCGATGAGTCATAATGCTAACAACCCGGTATCGAAGTCTATTGAGGGTCCTTATGAGGCCTAGAAAAATAGGAAATTTCAGTTTAATCGGGATAAGATAATCTTTTGATAAGCATCAGGGTCTAAGCATATAATTGTGAGGGAACTAAAATTACTACAAGTGGTATAGGGTGTCTAAATTGTCATTATATACTAGACTTAAGCAGTAGCTAGAGAAAGATGGAACCATAGATAGGTAAGAAATATCAAAAAATTGTCATATAGATCACTCATGTTTAGAACCATATTAACACTTATGAATTAACTAAAGGATCACAGCCTTCCAACGTTAATAAAGTTAATTTGAATCAAAATTAAGCAATAGAAGAAAACATTTAAATATTACTGAATGAAACTCTTTAAAATCACAAAAGCAAGGGGAAGATTAAATTAATAAGAAAATGAAGTCTACATTTATCTAATGGATCTTCCAAATACTCCATTACAACCTTCAGATTACTTTGTGGCTAGATGAAACTTTTATAAAATGAGACCTAAAATGTTCCCGTACATCAAATATCCCGAAAATTTGCTAAAGGAATGCATACAACCGTCTGAAGCTAGATATAAAAAGCAGCGGTGAATATTTGTTCATGAAAAAAAATCTTCTACAAGATCTGATATCATTAGCATATATTTGGGTGGAAGCACATTTAATTAACGAATGACTCAGCCTTTAATTGCAAGCAGAGCAGAATTAATCAAAAACTTTCCCGGCAGCTTAAAAGCATGGCTATCATATGCTAGTAAGACCAAATGGAAAGGGGCAATTGTTTCAATAGCGTCTTTAAGATGAACCAATTGATCATAAAGACAGAGTAAACTTAAAAGTAAAAAATATAAGGGCTCTAAAAATAAATGTGTTGGATTGACTATTGTAAAAGGTCAGTCAAATTTGATCCCTTTTGGTTTTTAGAGCAATTCAAATAAATCGTCTCTCATTTGCTAGCAAACGAAGGGAGTAGCGCCTGGGTTTCTAAGGCTATGACGAAATAATAACCATACAAGATAAAGTTAAAACCATGTTGATACATGACAGCGAGGGTAT